TTTTGCCATAAACCTTGAGTAAATTTTAGATGCAGTTAAAAAGTCAAAAAGAAAGGCAATCCTAGTATGTTGTAACCATATATAAGATACATACACAGACACAGGCACACATAGACACACACAGACACACACACACAAGTGTGCCAGATAGTTTCTAGTTCATGGCTACTATGCATGATGTTCTCTGGAACATTTCCAGGCCAACATTGAAAGGTATTTGTAGCAAATATATCTAGGAGAAATTATAAAATGTCTGAGAGTAAACCATGTAAGAAGAATGAACTTTAGTAAGACCTGCTGGGAAATTTTCACAAGGTCAGGTGATATGAGAGGTCCTGGTTGAGAACTCTGACATTCAGGAGAGGAGACCTAGGTCAGTTTTGCAGAGCGTATTGTTCTTCCTTGCTGCCCACTGTATGTCTGAGTTGGCTTTGCCCAGTGTGCCTGCTCTATTGCATCTTTCTGCAGTGCTCATGCACACTCATCAACAATTTCTGAAAGAGCTTTCACTTTTATATGGTCATTTAAAATTTAAAACAACTCATTCAATTTTCTCACCTAGCAACCACCACTGATGATATTCCCACTGGAAACTAGGAAGGATCCAGCATGCTGTAGAAATGGGGAGACCTCATAATTCAGATGGCTCTGCTTTATCCATGATCTCAACCTCAGGATCTCTGGGTTCTAAATGTTGATATCCACTCAGAAAATCCGGTGAAACTGGAGGGACAAAAATTCTCAGGGCTGAAATTTCATTTTTTAGCAGTTTCAGAATGGCATTTAGAAAGGATATCAAATTCCAAGACACAGGTTGAATATGAAACTGTTAGTAGGCTAAGTCCTACTGAAATAAAAGAAACTGGCAAAATTTGTTAATATGCTTTCTCTCCTATAATAGCTTTTGTTTGTTTGTTTGTTTGTTTGTTGTTAAAAATGTGACCAGACTGCTCTTACACAACAGTGTACACGCACGTGCAAGTCTGCAAGCGTGCCTGCGTGCACACACACAAACACACACCTTGATTTACCTTCCCTCTTTCAAAGTGCCTTCTCTTCTGCATCTGTACTTGGAATTATTCACCTTCACCACAACCTTCAGTAAATATCGGACAGTGATTGGCACTCCAGTGAAAACTGCAATCCACATTGCTTCTTTGCTTAGATTTTTATTTCACTTTTTCTCCAAACTTTGTAAGAAATACTTCTCCGTGAGCTAAAACTTCTGAGTCTTTATATCAAAGGCAGTCAGCAAGTCCCTTAAAGCCTGTTAAGTTCCCTTGCCTTTACTCAGTCCCCTGTATGCATTCTTCTTCCCACCCTGTGGGTTTGTGTGCTTTCCCTTCTAGGCTGAGTACCTCAGAGGGATAAATGGTTTATAGTATGAGCTTCTGAAGCGCAATATGATACTGTGAGCTTTGTTCACCATCAAATCCATAGGAATTATGCCAGGTATAAAGCAAATTCTCTATCAATAATTCACATGACCAAATTAATTAACTAATAATTTCATAACTTGTATATAGACTGCTGGAATTCAGCTTAGAAGTCTAGCTCAAAATTGATTCTGCCTCTCAGAGATTCCCTGTACTGTAAGAAGGATATAGAAATATTTTTTTTTACTTTATTACTTATTTATAATTTTGCTATGTGCCCAAGGCTAGCCTTGAACTTACAAGCCTGTTGCTACCACAGGTCACATGCTGAGATTGCATATGTGTGTCACCAACCCAGTAGAAATTAGAACTTCTGCTAGGAAAGATCCAAAATGTTTTGAAGATTAACTTTTTTCACCATTTAATAAAATATCAAAACTAAGTAGATGATGATTGCTATTGAATGAATAAATTTATTTTATAAACCAAAAATTCATATACTAGGTCCCTAAGCTACAGCATGAGGCTGATTTGGAAATGAGGCCTTTGAAAGATTCTCAGTGTTAGATGAAATCCTAAGGATGATTTTATACTAAGACATTGATACTCCTACAAAAATTTTGCTCTCTTCTCTCCCAGGAGCAAAGATCTGTTTTTTCTTAGGAAAAAACAGATCATCAGAGGACATAACAATTTAATGGCTTTTTATAAGTCGTCATCAAGTTTCCAAATCAAACATATCTTGCCAACACTTCATGCTAGGACTTCCCATGCTCTAGAACTGTGAGAAACAAATAACCTGTTTAAAAGATGTTGTCATTGTGTATGTATATTTTTTGTATTTGTGTGTGTGTGTGTGTGTGTGTGAATATAGGAACACATACTTTGCTTAAGTATGTGCAGAGAGTTGAAAGGGGGCATTGGCCGCCTCAGAGCTAGAGTTACCGGCATTTACGGGATGCCTAGCAATACTGGATTCTCACTAGGACTCCTCTCAGGCATCCTGTTGTTGCCCTGTGTCATGGAGATCCTGGATCTCTAGGTCTGTAGGACTAGTTTCCTTATATGCCCTAGTAGTTCATCGATAAGGTAGATGTTGGGACTTTGTTTCTGATTGTCAAATATAGAGGATTTTATTTTGGATGATACCTTATTTCCCTTATGATACTCAAGTTAATAATGACAACATGTGAGAGTTTAGGAAATCTTCCAAAACCTGTAATTTGGGGTAAATATGTAGCATTCTTATTGGCAACTTTCTTCTGTGTACAATTTAACAAGAAATCCCTTGTCAGTTGTTAATGGGAACTTTGCTAATTAAGATTGACAGAGGATCTGTATTGTTATTTTATGTTTCATGATAATTTTAAGGATTTTTACTATAAGATATTTTGTGCTAGTAAACATCAAAAAGGGTATGTGATCTTGCATATTTTGAAACTTGAGCACCAGCATAAAATATCAACTGACAGCCATATTTGACACCTGCAAATACTGCTTATTAAGCAAGTAAGAAGATGAGAGGTCTATATTGCAGCTACAACTCAGGAGAAAAGATGGTGATCAAGTATAGAATTTTAAGATGGACTTTCGTCTGTAGCCTGTAACTAGGCACATGGTAGACGTTAAGAGAAAATTGCTTCACTGTGCCCCATTATTTTGAAGAACTGTAAGAGCAAGCAAGGCCATTGATGGCCTCATAGACACATTACTGTTCACATTATATTGACAGCCTAGCCCAACGCACAGGAATGTAAAGTGAAGTGCTTATTCAGAGGCCAGATGGGCTTCATAAAGACACTTTGTCTATCTTAAACATCTTGTTAAGTCTACCTTAAAGGAAGAAAACAGGGGAAAAAACTGATAAGGTTTTTTTTTTCTCTCTCTCTCTCCAAAAGACTTACAAATGTTTACATTCCCCCAATCTTATCATTTAAAGAGAACACAGTCCAGGGCTCTTGAGCTTAGTGTGACAAGGGGTCTGGTGCAGGCCCCAAGAGCATTCCTATTCTCCGACTAGGATTCCTCAAAGGAGTTGAGATCATGATACAATTTCAGGATCACAGGGAGCCCTGATGAGAAGCCTTTCCTCTCAGCATGAGCTCACGGCCTCACACTGTGATTGCCATGCCTCCACCATGAACAGATATCTCAATAACCATGGTAAGTAGGCAGATGAAAGCCAGCATTTAGGATTCATTGGCCCAAATGAAAAATAAGCCAACCTCTGATATTTGCCAAGCTCTCTTCTACTGATCAAATGTATTATGCATATGGTTTCTGCGACTGATCTGACAATTAAAATCATGGAGAAGAATCCAGGCTTTTCCTGTGGCACACAATCAGTAGGCTTCTAAATGTATGCCCCTGTTCCAACAATCAAAACCACGGAACTTCAGCTCTCCCTGTGACGCATACAAGGTAAATTAAGGTAATAAACTTATGGGTCTCCAACATCGAAAAATTTCAGGTTCTCAGCAAATAGGAATCTTGGGTTCTTATACAACACCCATCCTTCTATGTTACTGGTTTGGACACAAACAAAGTCACAAAATAACAAGGTTTTTTGCTGTATTCTGATATACATACAACCACATATTTGTCCAGACAATTTTCCATGTGTGTTAGTTCCCTGCGGCATAAATGAAAATGAATCAGCATTTTCCCTTTATTTGTTAACCGTCCTAGAGGCTGGAGATAGCAACGAATAAGCAAATATGCATTTCAGAAGGAGACAGAACAAAAACATGGACTTGGAAATGTGCTTTGAGACATGGCTTGGGTACTTTTTTGTTTGTTCATTTGTCTGTAGCTAGAAAATCCAACAATATTCTCTTCTCCTACTCCCATTTAAAAGCAAACTGCACCCATAACTTAAGCTGTGACCTACGGGCTGCCAGAATTACACAAGGCTCGGTGGAACTGTCAGAGAGTCGAACATGTATTTTGGCCTCAAGCTGTGAGTTCAGGAATTCTGGGTGTCCAAGGATCTGGCTTTTCTTCCTCTTACTGGATCTCTCTCTATGATCTATTAATTCTTCGTCAAATCATAATTTGGTCCGTCCACTGGATTTTGTGTGTTTCAGATATTCTTCAGTGTGGTTCTTTAGGGATTGTCCTTTCCACTCACTGGGGCCACGATTAGCAAGATCTGATGCAAAAAAAAAAAAAAATACTTCTCCAACATGCCAATTGGCAAACGCTAGGTTTTGTTCAGGAAAACAGATTAGTCCTCTAAGGGTTAATTAGGAAGAGAGCCCCATTCAGGGCCTGGGATTGTTTACTTCAATCGTTTTTCATGCAAACTGCCATGTTTCACTTGGGTCCTAATTGTGCCTGATGGACCTATTATTTTGTAATCAGAGCAGTTCCTTGGCTTGCTCTCTAGGGGTTAATTAAATGGATGAGGTAGTGCCCCGGATATTACTAGCAGACAGGACCACTTGAATTTTTCACCAACCGCATTGGAGAGAGTCCCGTTACTATGAACAATCGGGTTTCTCAGCACCAGCGGTGCCTTGCACAGTTGGAGTTTATTAGGTTACTGTACCAAGACAAGCCTGGCTGATCCATCAATGCAGTCCTGCCTGGCTTGGCCCTGTTTCCGTTCAAAGAAGACTAGCACCAGTGCACTCTAGAAACCCAGCCTGCATGTAGACAGCCCTGCCTACTGCAGAAGATGATTCCTGCCCCGGGTTAAATGTGCACAACTCGTGGAAATGCCAGTACCTTCCACCTGAAGGCACTTAGTGGCTAGAAAACCAGCAATCTACCCCGAAACACACTGTACTAAACACAGCAAGAGACCACAATGATTGGTAAGGTGACTAGACATTTCTCTGGCGTTTTTCTGCTGCGGCTGCTGCTGCTGGAATCTGACTTTGTGATCCCCATTTCCCACCCTCGTTTCTTTGTCTGTTCCAACTGAATTTCTAGCTTGCGATTCTTTCTGTAAAATGATCACAGATTATTTTGTTTTACTTTATCTGTATTACTATTTTGCAACAAGCCTCCTGGGATTTAATAAGCAGGAGGGCGTATTGTGTGCTGAGGCGTGAAAGAAGGATAAATTCTAGAGCACAAAAAGCTAAGCCCTTCTGCATGTGGGACAGCTGGGGGAACAGCAAACCTGGACAGGAGGCTGTACGTGAGGTTTTGTTCTCAGTCCCACAGTATCAGTTAAAGAAAGGCAGTTCTGTACTGTGGAGAAAACTCTAAACTACAATTACAGGGAGCTTGGAATAGCTTACAGCAGTGTAAGTCTTGTTTGTGGAGTTAGTTCCTGAGCAGTGTTTGTAAGAAAACAGGACTTTTTGAGAGCAGAATGTGTATCTTAATGGAGGGTGGGAGTGATGCAGGAAAATGAATTAAATTTTAATTTTATTTTATTTTATTTATTCAGTGTGTTAATTGAGTGACTTGGGAGGAGTCGCTGTACTCCTCTTAGTTCCAGTTCCGTCGTTAAAGTGGATCTAAAAATATAGATCTACTTTGTGCTATGGGATTGTTGTGAAAAATCAATCATATTGTGTGGTACACATTACATGGCTCAACTAATATATGAATAAAAAATGACTGGCTTAAATTTTATGAGGTATTATAAGTATTTATAATTATGTGTGAAACTTCTTAGCAAAGGGCAATGTTATATTTCTCCATCACTACATTTAAAAAAGTATAAGTTTCTAGGCTATGGACTACAACTTGTGGATTGTTGCAGAAACTAGTCTGCACCCGAGGTTTTTCTGCCTTGTTTCTAATTATTTCACTTCTATCAGAACAATGTCATTGCATCATTCTGAACCTGCATACACTTTTACAGCAATTACTATAAATATAGTAATAAAATTATAGTAGGTACACAGACTAAAGAAATATACAGATTAAGGAAATCAGTGTAAATAGAAAGCATACTTGTGGCTGTATAGGTCTTGGGATTATGGGGACGTGGGAATAATGACAGTGAGGACTGATAATTTGGAGAAATTGAAGAGAATGTCCTGAGAGCCACTTGACCCTATGAAAACGCTGAAAGACTGAGCAAAGTACATTTGGATAAGACATGTCCACTTGCGGGTTGAATGTGAGTTACAGCTCAATATAACTGTCACTCAAATCTGTATTTAGAAATTAAAATTCATATATGTGCACCTACAAGTTAAAGTGTGTTGTGATGCTATATCCTAGTGGATAGATACCTCTGGATGGAAAATGCTAACTCATTAATGAAATATTCTAATGAAACAAAAAGGAAGAAAACATAAGCCTTTCTAAAAGGAAGATTGTCACTATCCCCATGGCCACTGCCTACAATGCTCTGGAAGCCTGCAATCCATGGGAATACAAAAGGTACTTCAGCGCTGGATCTAATTTTGAAATGTTTCCACATATCTCTGGCTTTTTTTCAGATTTGGATTCCATTTTCCTTCTATTTTTGTAATCTGTATATATCAGGACTTGATTTAGCTTGCCCCTCTAGAAATCCAAAGTTCTGGTCATAAAGACATTTGGACAACACTATAGAATATCTCTCACACAGAGCCACCTTATTTACTCCTATGGGTTTAGATGTTCCATTGGTGGTAGGGTAGTAGTAGTAGTAAGTAGTAGTAGTAGTATTTTTCTGACTGTGAAAAACATTTATGTTCTTCTTATTCATTTAAATTCTTATCCCAACACTGTATGAACCTTGTTGTGCTCACTTTACACTTGTGGGGTGTGAAACCTGGAAATACTTAAGCCAAAGTCAAAATCCTGGTAGTCTATGGTCTTAACCAGTTTGCAATCTGATAATGCATAGTTTTCACCTGATTATCTGTGTTATCACAAATCTTGAACAAGAACAGAGGTTCCAATGTTCATGGACTGATATCTAGTCTGCTAGGAAAAACTTCCAAGAAAACATCAAAAGAGAGTTCAAGTACAGTACACTGGACCTCACAGTGGGTTTATATTTTATCTTTGCAGGACTTTCTACCTCTGAGGTTTTTTTATACATCAAATGAAAATCTTCTTTTTATTCATTCAGAAAACCATCAGATTTTATGCATGTATTCATATATATTACCTCATATATCAACATATATGTATGTATCTATATTGTATATATGATACATATATGTGTGTGTATATGTATGTATATTTAGGTTATAAGTATATAGAGATATGTGTATAGATATATAGATATATCTGCTAATCAGAAATAAAGCTTATTTTCTAGAAGGCTGAAAATAAGATTAAAATTAGCCATAATAAATAATTGTTATGTATAATGATTGTAGAAAAGAACACTGAAAGGAATACAAGCATGTATCCATGTGCCCTTCTCTAGCCAGGGAATAAAGAGAGGATAGAAAGCTAAGAAAAATAATGGCTTAAACTTCCCATCGAAAAAGTGCTGCGGAGTGTATGACAGCAAGGAGAAAGAGTGCATGGCTATAAACTGAGCAGTGTGAGGAGCATATTTCCCAAATAACAACAGTCACCATATAATAGTGCAGGTTCAAGGTCAGCCTAGGTTTCCCAGAGTCTGAAATGCCAGTAATGTAGTACATCTTGTACTTGAATTTTAAATGTGGCTAACCTGGGCCTGACTAGCTATTCTCTTTTAATCTTTTAGGCACTAATGTTTAAATCATGTTACACTCAGTATATGTGTATAAAACCCACTCTTCTTGTATACTGAGCTGACAGAGGGCAGAGAGCCATAGCCTTTCCTTGAGGTATGTGTATACAGTGGCAATTGCCTTAAGCTCCAAAAGTAGACTGCTTAGGTTCCGAATCAAATAGTTTGGGTAAGTTTTGGAAAATGCATATATAATGGGAGAACATAAAAATACACTGTATTGGGTCGCTTATTCAGATGTGTTCTATAGTTGTGTATTCACACAAAATTTATTTCTGATAAGAATGTTTTAAACTAAAAGTCTAATTGAGATCCCATAAGCCTGATAATTCTTTTATATCTGGTTTCTTCTTACATTCCTGAAGAATAGTACTGAGTCCATGGTGCCCCAAATGGTCAGCAAAAGCAGAAGAATTCTGTCTAAATGTAATACCTGATTGTTGGCACTTTGGTGACCTAGTAAGATGCTTGGCACCACAGAGATAATTAATTCTAACTTTTGGGGGGCAGCTAAAACTCGTAAGAATTACACAACCATCACAATATTCTTTTGAAGGGTCCAACCAAGGGCTGGGTGGCTTCAGCCAATCTCTGTGCAAGGATCGTGTGTTCTGTTCTGGACTGGGTTTTTCACATATCAGAGTGTCAACTTCAGACAAGAAAGGAATTTGGATAAATTAGATGAGCCACCTGAGTACTGGATACTTATTAAATATAGGAATAGTTGTTCTCCATGGTGAAAGTACAGAGACAGGATAAAAAATGTACTCTTAATACTTCCTATCCACCTCCTCCAAAGTCAACTGCTGGAAACCTACTTTGACGACATACATACTTCAATAAGGTGTATTCTCTTTTAATCAAATTATATCCCATGGCTTCATATTGAATAAAAGTTTTAAGAGACCAAATTTTGAGTACGTATCTTTAAATAAAATAATTAAAAAGCTAAACTGATACCAGATTTGGTTATCAAAAGTAAGCCAAATTTGCTATGTTTATGATGCAGATGAAGTTTTTGAGAAAACACTAAAGCTCTAGAACTCAATGAAAAGTCCAACTCAGAAACCACAAAACCAGCCCACAAAAAGTGTTTCAGGCCTTACTAAGGGTGAACCTTGCACTCCTTCCAAGAGCTCTTATGTTTCTTGCAAACAGATTCACCGTTAATGCCATTAAATTTAACACATATAAATACAGATGAAATGTTATCTAAGTAACTGTGTTTTAAATCTCTCAGAACCCATGACGAGAACTTGATAGAGTCACACTGAGCAACCATTTCTCACCACATGGCCATGCTTGAACAGGATAACAGCGAGCCATGCAAAAGCAAAGAAACAAACAAAAAATATTAGCAACATAAAAGCTCCAGCACAAGTTCTGGGCCTTACCCTCAGGCTTAAGATCTCTCTATTATTAAGAAATTATCAAAAAGAATGCAAGATATTGATCCACTTGAACATAAAATTTAATCCCAAGAAAACTAAGAAAGATTTTCAGCATTTTACTGTAAAATGATGGGTTAAAATTTAACTTCTGTTTGGAAGGCTATATATTGTAGGCTTTGTGTTTTTATAAGAAGGTAAGTTAAATTTTGGTAAAACCTCATGAACAATGTTCACATTTAACAGGCAAAATAAGATGCCTTAAATTATCAAAGACTGGCAGGACTGGGAATGCATTAAAAGAAACAAAACAAGTAACAGAAAAATGTATAGGAAGTGCTCAGATCACTGGAAAGGCTATATTTCTAAAAATGTCAGCATGTAGGCCTGAGGCTTAGGTTTTACATAAAGAGACAGTTAATAAAAATTGAATACAATTGATCATTTTAACATGCATATGTTATTCTACTTAAGATTTGGCATCCACAAAAAATGTCAATGTAGAGTTCTACTTTAAATGTATAAACATATTTCTTTAAAAACCGCTTCACCAAGAGGAAGACAAGCTAAATGTTTTTTTTCTAATTCTTTTTATTTTATTTTTTGAAGTGCGGAAAGGAGAAAATTATGTAAACATTTAAATATACTGCTTCAGATAGATAGATAGATAGATAGATAGATAGATAGATAGATAGATAGATAGAT